AGAGTCATGATTGGGTTTGTGCTGAAGTGGCAAACTGTACTGTGTGTGTACATCTCCCAGGGTAAGGTTCTTGTTTGAGGAAACCACCTTGATGGGCATTTGAAGAGTAAGTATTGTACTGTTTTAACTTTGCTTTGGTCCTGGATAAATGTCTATGAGGGTCAAAGTTAATAACTAATACAAGGGTGGGAAAGACTAGGCAACACCCTTCCTCTTTACAGTCTAGATGGCATGGTTCCCCATAGACCCCTGGTCATATTGTCCTCTTTCTCACTTTGTGTGTCTCAGGTGCCCCACGCCTTTTTTTGAAAGACTAACACTAGACCATTCATGCAATGTGTCATTTTTACTAACCAACTAATGTACTAACACCCTAACGACTCATCTTTGCTTTTAGTTATTTTAATTAACAATCGTTCTGTTCACGATTTTTTAATTTCCTTTCTTCCCCCTTTTCCGCAAAGCACTCAGGCATTGGACACGCTATGGTAAACAAACTACATTGTCTGGTAGATATCATTCTTATTGTCTCTTTTTTTGGGTTTGCCGTGTGTTACCTGCCTTTTCCTACCCCTACCCCCTCTTTTACCCCCCTCCTTTATACTTACTTCTTCCTTTAATTTTATTTTAGTTTCATTGAAGACACTTTTTTCCCCATCCTTTTTGTTTTTCTTTTTTTTCCTCCTTTTTTTAATGGAAAAATGAGCAACAAAAGCAACTAACACAACTCTTCTGGAAATGGGATTTGGACGTTTCTTTCGTTGGTTTCTTCACCTCCCCCTTTCGTTCTTCTTTTCCATTCCAGTGATAAGTTGTTGGGGTTTTTTGTCCCTTGCTTTTGAGTTTAGCTTTCTCTCTTCTGTTTTGGTTTTTCTTTTGATTTTTTTCTCCCCTTTTGTTTTTTGTTTTTTTTTTTTACTCTGAAGGTTTCTAGATCAGAACCGTTGCAGGGCCTCTAGTCCGTGGTGGTGAAGGCTCTCTTTTTCTCTCATCCTTTTGTTGTGGCAACGGCTGTTACAGGCAAACTGGCCGGAGTTGTCCTCTTTCTCCTGATTTTCCCCCACTTCCCTCCCTCCTCTTTCTCTCCTCCTCTTCCTCCTCCCTCTTGCTCTCTCTCTCACTTTCTCTCTCTCTCTGTGACCTCTACCTGCCGTGGCCGACAGGAGCTCAGCCGGTTGTTTGTTTCAGTACACACTCTGCATGGCATGTCCACGTCTGGTGACTCGCCCATCTCCTCCTGGCCTCAATCTATTTCCCTTCATCTTCCCTTTAAACCACTAACAACTTCTAAGCAGAACACATCAAATTCACTTGCTCCTCTCTCTCCCTCTCCTTTCGTCCCCCTTCACCCTCCATGTGTTTGGGGTTAGAAGTTTTGGGGACATTTCTGTTTGTTTGTGAGATTGTTTTTTAATTATTTTGGGGTTTGTTTGGTATTTTTATTTTTGATTGCATGCAAATGTGAAATAGTTTTCTCTCTCTCTCTCTTTCTCCCTCTCTCTTTTTGCTTTTTTCCTGTCATCTTTCTGGGCTCCAGATATATTGGCATGACATGTCAGTGCAGTGTTTGCACGCTTTGTCTCTTCTTTCTTTCTCATCTCTGCTTCTCTTGTACTTGTTGCTGTGTGGTTGATTTATTCTGATTTATTTTATTTTGATTATTTCCTATTTATATTTTGGTTATGGGTTAGTTTGTAATTATTTCTTTTCTTTTTAATTTTTTTTTGGGTGGTGGGTGTGTGTCTCTCTAGGTACATGGCATGCACATCCATAATGTATTGAAAGTGAGATCCCTCCCCTCCCTTCCCGAATGCATGATCGTCAGTGTGCCGTGAGCAAAAGAAACATTAAAAAATAAAAAATACCAACCTCGTCTTCATTAGTGATTTGTTTTTGTTTTTTTTTTACTAACAACCATAACTAACTGTAATCATTAAAATAAATACTAATTAATCATAAAATCAGCTAACATGAGAAATCTTTTTCAAGGGCAGTTCCATTTTCTGGCCTGAATAGATGGAAAGCATCTGGATGGGTAGACTGCTGGGTCAGCCTGACACTGCTGATACACCAGAAAGGCGAGAAGCAGATGCTGGAGCGTTTCCATTGTGTGTGAAGCAGACCAGAAAATGGAGCTTGGCTGAATTAAAAAAAAATACGTACCAAATCTCAACAAAATCCTTAATAAAACTGACATAAAAATATAGGGGAGGTCACTTGTTCTGTTCAGGATTGTAAGGTCAATGCTGGGATTTTCTTTGTCTGTTGTGTCCCTCCAACAGGTGACAATCTCTGTGGATGGCATCCTTACCACCACGGGCTACACGCAGGAGGATTACACCATGCTGGGCTCAGATGACTTCTTTTACGTGGGAGGGAGCCCCAGTACTGCTGATTTACCTGGCTCTCCAGTAAGCAACAACTTCATGGGCTGCCTCAAAGAGGTAACTATTTCAAGTTTTCTGTGCTTCTGGATTCTCAAACTCATCGCTCCTTCCTGCCTTTCATTACACACTCCATGTCTTTCTCTGATGCTGAATTTTACTCTGATACTGCAACAGCTGTGTGAGGATAAACATGTCATTCAGCTGGACAGAAGGCATCAGCCGCAAAACTTGTGAGCTTATGCTCAGAATCGGACATCTAGTGCTTGGATTACAGAAAATACTACCCATGGTAGCAAGTGAAATGTCGTCTGTAAGCTGTTAACCATTCATAAGAAAGCATTGCAATCTTCTAGGCACTGAGACAATAACCATTAAAAAAAGAGATAAATGGCCTTTGATTACTAAGCAGCATTTCTGGGTTAAAAATGATAACCAGAATTTTACTGAGGTTTTTTTTTAAGGTCCTGGTTTTCATCTAGGAATATAGTTAGTTGTCGATTTTCCAAAAAGATAAGAGTTTCAGTGAACTGAAAAAATGAAAGTTGAAGATAGCATGAAATATAAGTGTAAATTATGTAAGGAGAATGCATCATGAAGGTATAATAGAGATGTGGCAATAATGTGGTTCATGCACTTGAAGTGTACTGTATTGGTATATTCATGCAGCAGAGCTGCTGCATTGGTCAGGAATTAGGTAGCTGCCTTCTAAAACATGCTGGCTGGCTGCCCTTGTCATGTAGTTAATCCACAATTTTGAAAAAATCCACATATGAGTAATAAAGATTTGACTGCCTGGCTAGCAGAATAGTGTTCCTTGGGGAGAAGGGGATGAAGTAAAAAAATAAAAAACCCTCATGAAGTCTCAGCCCAAATCCAAAACTTGATGCAGTTGTTGTTTGGGTGTTAAACCCTGCACACATCTTTTTTCTTCTTTCCAATCTGTTTTAATAGAATCTGTGAAGATCACTGGGATTTATGGTGATACAGATATTGACATCTCCAAAATGTGTTAACGTGAGCTCGATGTTGTTCTGGGGCTGTAAGTGCCTGACGAGTTACCGTCACACAGAGGCTCGACCGTAGTGTCAGGGGTTGTATGTTTGTTATGTGCAAGTCTTTTGATGGTGAGCAATGGCTGTAGCAGGAGCTGCTCTTTGGCCTGACCTCTGGATTAGTTAAGGGGATGCACGTATGCTGGAAAAGAGCATATTTGCATAGGAAGTGAAACTGCCCTGAATACAAACTGTCATACAGAGATCATACCCTTCTGTTTTCATCTGTAGAGCCTTTCATAGGCACTGAGCATCCCAGTTTGATTGAAACCAAGAGGTGATACAGCTTCTTAGTGCCTCTTTAAATCAGGATCTTAATTTTATTTATAGATGCTATGAACAATAACATTTAACAGAGGCCATTTTTATGTGTGCTTTAAGTCAAGCCAATGGAGCAGAGAAAGTGGTGACACGAAAATCTTCAGCAACTTTATTATTTATATAATCATTTGTATTCTGTGAGCTTGCACAATGTGCTGAGAGCCACTTACATAGTTGTCCCAGGCTCATAATGCTCTGCGAAAAGAAAAACCCAAGTGACCATTTAAGAATGAGAAGAAGGGGGAAGAAAACATGATCAGAATGTGCTTTGTAATCTTCACTTGACTAGGCAGTGACAGGACATGTGTGTGAGCAGCTGTCTCAACTTAAAGCCAGGCTAGTGCTGGCTGGATTTGAGCTGTAGTCTGCTTGATAGCAACCTGCTCATAGTGGTGGTCCAGTAATGCTTTCAGCCTCTGTGAAAATGTGCCCAAAACATACCTTGCCTGGCCTCTGGAAATGAATCCTGTACACACTAGTCACTGAACAGAAGTGTAGTGCAGGGTTGTCAGGTGGGGCACCTGGAAATGAGATATATGGAGAAATGTAATATTTCAAAAGGAAAGCCACATCACTAATTAGTGCTTTGCATTTCTGTTCTGTTGTTCCCTCAGACCCCTTAGGTCACAAAATGAGCTATTGCAGGTATCACTAGGAAGAGCAAGGAACCTGACTGTGCTTTTCCTCAGTTCTTATTTTGGCAAGTGGAGGTGATGGGGAACTGTGATTAACGGAGGAAGAGCAGCCATAGATGATTGTCAGAATCCTGACAAAATCCAGGAGTGCTGCTGTAACATCACTGCGTGCGCAGAGCAGGATCTGACCAGAATAGATAGCCTGTATAGGCTAGGAAGGGTTCTCATTGTATATGTAGTGAGTAGGCAGTGTAAGCAGGCAGTGCTTACGTTAAGGGGAGCTTTGGGCGAGTTGAGCAGAAAATAGTTTGCCTTGTGAAATTATTCCAAGGTTGGTTTTCTCTTCTTTCCTTTGCTAACGGTGCAAACGCTGATCACAAAGGTAGCAGATTCAACCTGAGATCTACCTAGAATTAGGAGATGGTTCTTTTAAGTGTTTTCTTTATGTCTACTTCTGAAATGCTGGGGTGCTTCTGTGCAATGCAGTGCAGCATGGTACCAAAGAAACCTGAGCTGGCTCGAGAAAGCTAGAATGAATACCTGTGGGGATCAGACTGACTCCCTGGGCCAGCCAGCTTTGATCTTTGAAGAACTAGAATTAGTCCAGCGCTTGTGTGCCTATGATGCTTCAGTTCCAGCACTGGCTGCAAGGGGCTTTACTTGGCTCTGCGTAGCATGGCAGTGTATTTCATAAATCCGTCCCTATAGGTTATATTTTGTTTGGGTTTTTTTCTCTGACCAAGAAGGATGCTTGGGCTGTAATCAACTAGTACTGCAGGAGCTTGAGCTTTTAAGAAAAATATTCTAAGCTAAGAAAGTCAGACAAAAGAGTAGAATAGACTGTAATAGCAAATATTGTTCATTTTAATTTATACTTTCTGGTAGAGCAATGCTCTTTTTTTCCTTCCAAAGTCCCAGCTGTGTAATCACCTGTTCCCAGAGACATAGCACATCCCGAGTGGATTGCTCTGCTGTTTATAATGGTGAAGAACATCCTGCCGAACCTTGTATGATCTCTTGAAGGTGTTAAAGCAGCTTGTTCTATTCCTACTCCTCTGCATTTGATGAAGGCTTCCCCTACAGATGCCTTGTCTCACTTTCCTAGGAAGGCAGAGATTGGTGCAGTCTTTGGAGTGAAATTTTCAGCTTTCTCCCTGTAATCTCTCTTGCTTCATCTGGACAGTATGGCATCCAAATTGCTCACATGGGAGGTAAGAGGGCTCCTTGAGTGGAGCAGTGCCTTCCCACTTCCTCTAAGATGATGTGCAGGTGCTGAAGTGCAGTAGGGCAGAGTGCCTAATGACTCTCTCTGCCCCGCTGCAGCTGGGAAGGATTTCTCTACTCAGCTGGGACTGAGAGGAGGAGAAGGGGCAACTCTGGCAGAGTAGGCACTTCATGTGGTCAGAGTCTAAGCCTTGGCTAGGAGGGATTCAAGTGCATAAGAGTGTGTTTCTGGCAAGGAGATAAGGGTCATGGGGCTCCTCTGCTGCAGTATCTAAATAAGCTGTGTTGAAGGTAACCATGTTTTCTTTGATTTATCTGAGCTAATGATTCTTCCTTTCACCACAGAATAGATCCTTCTGCCTCTTCTTTTTCTTGTGGCTACAGGTTCTGATTGAAGAGATTCCACCAAGTTGCCTAGACCTAAATCATAAATCTAAGTGCTGAACATGTAGTTCAGGTTGAGTTTTTTTCTCCATTTTCATCAGAACTAAAGATATTCCAATGTCTGGTAGTACTGTTTGGTTTTCATTTCTCCGTACCCATACTGGCAGTGCTGCAACATACCTGATGCTATAATGATGGAGCAAGATTGGGAAATACTTGTTCCACACAAGTCTTCAAAGGCAGAATATGTAAGTAGGGCAGTACACAGACGTCAGACAAATCTAAGGCTTTCTGGACCTTCAGTCTTAAAATAAATTGTTCTAGAGGAGCTCTGGGGAGAAGCTGATGTATTTCCTATTGTGGAGTAAACCAGATGTAGAGATGGGATAGGAGGAGGTACAGAAGCACATCTGAGGCAACTAAGCAGAAATGTTTTTTTAATGAGTATCAGGGTAGAAGTGACAGTACTTTAGGAGTCAGTGAATGCATAAACAGGCAGAAGCACTGCCTGAAGGTGGAAAAGGAAAAGGATTCGCTAATAGTTGTTAGAGACACCAGCATGGCTAGGAGGTAGGATAAGAAAGGTAAAGACAAACAGCTATGTTTCCCATGTACTGGAGAGTCTCAAGGAGGAGATTCCAGTAACCAAGGATAGCGTTAGAGAGTGGCTGGGTGAGAAATGTAGCTGTGTAGGCAAAGAGGGGAGACTGGATTTCAATCCCTGATCACTGGGGAAGGGAGAGAATCAGAACGTTTCCTAGACTTTATTAGGGAGCCAGTCATTTAGATTTGATGTACTTGGAGCTGCACTTAGATGGTACAGATGGAGGTGCTTTAGAAGAGCCTAAGGTGGTCCCTAGGGAATGGATGTGCATGATGGAATTTATGAAATCTTTACATTTTTCTGTAGTTGCTTTATTAAAATCTCCATTCTAAAAAATGTTGATTGGTACTAACAGCTTGATGGAAGTGGTGAGGTTTGCATATGGGTAGAATAAGGCAGAAATTATTGCACGGGTCAGGCACCATCTGGCCATGATGGGAGAAAGCTGTGAAAGCTTAGATCGTTTTTGTCTGCAATTACCTGCTAGCAGCCAGATTTCCAAATGGTTCATGAGCGTGCCCAGTTGCTATATGCACATCTTGCATGCTATCTGCAAGCCAGGCCTTTTTCAGGCCTATTTGCATGTGCAATGATGATGTGATTTCTGTTTGGGGATGAGGTTTTTTCTGATTTGAATGTCACGCTAGGGAGGAGTCTGAAGGTTCAAATAGAAGAAGGACTGAAAAACACAGAGGCAGAGAAAAAAACAGTCTGAATGTGAAGTGAGCAGATGGAAGAACTTGTATTTGTAAGAGCCCCTCCCTAACAGGAAGACCAGATAGCCCCAAAACTTTCGGGCAGTGATTCAAGAGAGTCACAGAAATGCCTAAGAGGAGA